GTCCTGCGAAAGCCTTGGAGGAGATGGGGCAGGGGAGCTCACTGCAGCCATGGGTCCCGGGGTCTCCAGCTGTGGGGAGAAAGAAAGCACTCTGCCTTTTTAAGAGCGGTGTATGAAATGAGCCCCGCTGTCCTCAGGCATGTTCCTCCGGAGGCCGCCATCGGTGCAGAGCAGTTGAGCGCCTCCGATATGGACTTTCCCAATTGCATTTCCCTTTGAACTCCATTGTTTGATTTACTCCAGATAGTAATTGCTCAGCATGCCTCTTCAGTTTTGCTTTCCTTTGTAGGAGTGTGTGTACATCTCTGAGGGTATACTTTTTTTATTGCATTGTATTCCCTGCTTAGCCTTTTCATCCTGGGATGTTTTTTTTTTTTCTTGTTTTAATAAAAAAATCAGGAATGCTTATGAAAGTCTTGATGATCCTTTTGATCTGACACTTCACATATGGGCACATAATTATTTATTTAAGACTTCTGTATGTCCTTTTCCATTTAAGCTATAAAAAGAGAATATTAAAATTACTAAATACATATTCATGCAAACACCGTGGGCCAAACTGTCCTCTCGGACAGACTGGACTGACTGCAGCAGGGAAGGAGAACGCGACCCAGATGTTGTAGCACTATTGACACACGCTTTTCAATATCTGTTCCTTCTTTATGAATGTTGTATTTGAACAGTTGTTGGAGATACTCAGATCCGGGAACCTCCCTTGTTTTTTCAGATCCGCCTCACCTCTTTCCAGCATTCCACCCTCCTGTACCAATTGATGCGAGACATCATGAGGGACGCTACCATTACGAACCATCTCCCATTCCTCCTCTGCATGTGTGAGTATTCAGTATTTCCCCTCGCTTCAGCTGCCTGAACGGGCAAGTATATGAACCTTTGCAGCGCTTACAGCCGTGCACCTAGAGCGCTCTGCCAGCCCTGCCAGAGAACGGAGTTTACTTCTGGAAAGCATCGAGGTTATCTGTCTGTGAAGCAAAACCCAGGCTGGAGCCTGAGGAATTCCTGTTGTAATAGGTGGCTGGCAAGCATTACCTGTATGTTTTGCTGACATTTATTCTGTGTGCTGTCGTTTTTAGAAATATTAAATTAAAAAGTGCTGAACCCTGTGAAATACAGCCAGACAAAACATGTATTTTGTCTGTATTAGGCTTGGGATTCTTCCTAGCTAAAATTCTCTCTCATGCCAAAGGCTGTTTTTTTTTCCAATGACTGCTATGAAGCATAATGAAATTTTTGGTAAATTTTCATAGTCCCTGTTGTGTGCGCGCACAGGCGATCAGTTGATTGATGGGAATGTCACCCAAACAAAATGGCAAGTGTGATAGAGCACATGGTTTACACAAAGATAAAAGAAATGAATACCGGTGATAACGTGCATGAGAAAAGGATGGTAGTGGTGAAATGCTGTAGAAGTAAATATTATCTTATTCTATATGGGGAGACAGATATCAGCATTGCAGAATGAAACGGTTGTTGTGTACAGAAAACTGCTATATACCATTAAAAATGGAGCCAAAAAGCAGGGCTTGGTACTTAGCTAAAAGGCTTGATATATAAGTTTAATCATATCTACTAATCACCTCTCATACTGAGAAAATACAAGAAGAAAAGCACAAGTAATACTTTGAAGAATAATGCTAGTTGTTTAGATGGCAGATTGCTTTGCTATGGCTATTAGTTACAGCTGTGTAATTACATATAGGCAGAAGAAAAATGAAGTTGTTTTAAAACAAGTCCTCCTCTGTGAGCAGAATTAATTGATATTAACAATCCTAACTACATGCCCAAGTACACACACAATATTTTACTAAATGTTTTTTTGGGTCAGTCTTCTATTACTGAATTGTAATTTCAGAGCAAATTTGCCTGGAGGTAAGTAATAAATCTGTGTTGCAGTCTTCTTGGGCATTAGAGGAAAAGTGGGTATTTATAGAAAGAGAGAGTACAGAAACTTGTGATTTATTCCTCAGAGTTCCTCTGATGCATCGCTATTTACACCACAGTCAACCAGATCATAAAAATATACTCAAATACACACTTAAATCTGCTGCTAAAAACCATCGTAAGCTGAAGGTGGCAGGCTCAGAGTCATTACGTGGTCATCCTGGATTTTGCAGGGCAGTGAACATTCTGACTAGATGACTGGGGGGAGGGATGATCCCACTCCTTCTGAAGCTGATGGGGAGTTTGCCTTTGTCTTTGAGGCAGATGGGGCGGGGAGCCCCAGCAAGTGTTTCAGCCCGCATCAGCGTCACTCGGGTACCGCCTGTGAGCCTGCGCGGAGGCTGCTTGATCCCGTGCCATGTGGGACCCTGCCTGGCTGCGCTTGCTGTGCTGAGCCCTCTCCAGACCCTGAGCCCCATGAACCCAGCCCGTACCGTGACACCCCGCGCCCGTGGACAGGGCTTTTGGGTGGGTAGACCACCATTCCCCGCTTCTGGCGGCAGCTGGAATTCGGGACTAGCAGCCTACGCTGTTAAAAGTGCGAGGATTTCTGTAAAAGCCCCAAAAGATGCTGAAAATGCCTGCTTCGTGCCTCATGTGGCGTTCAGCGGCAGTCCCCTCCGACGCTGAAATCAGTGCCCCTTCTTTCAGCGTCTGCTGCGGTGCAGCGGTGATTCAGCTGGGCCCTGCAGAGGCTTGTTAGAGGCGAGGAGATCTTAGTGTGATGCGATATGACTGCAGGCAGCTGCTTTAGAAATGCACTCTGATATCAGCCCAAGCTTTCAACTCAACATTTCCTTGATACTGGCCGTTTATTTTTCCATTAACTTCTGTCGATTCTTCCGCTCATTTGGTTTGTGTAGCCATTGGAATGAGGAGCTGTGGTGGACCCTTGGAGCCGCTGTGGTCAGTGTAATTAAACGTGAATAGGCAATTAAATAATTAAAAAAAAAAATCTGTCAGACTCCAACAGCTTCTTTGTAGATGTTAAGGTTTATCATGCTTTTGCAGTTTTCAGGAATATGTTTTAATGTATATAGGAGGTAGACACCCAGCAGTTTTCTTGCAAGTTTTACAGAGCCTGACTGAGTACCACTTAAGAGTGTTAGATTTGGGATTGTTTGCAGCCATTACTTGAGCTGCTGTTGTAACACCCTTTTTAAAAAAAAAAAAAAAAAAAAAGACAAGACAGACCTGGGTCTGAGAAGTTATTTGAGGATTCTGAGTAAAAATGGCAAGAACACAAGTCAGGGTACAAATATTTACCCACGGCTTCATTAATGACTTCATTGTATGAGTGGTTTTCTCCTCAGCTTCATAATACTCTCAAATGTGTGTGTGTAATACAAATAAAAAAGAGGGCAAAAAATTGGCATCACTCCAGTTGTCCAAGCTCCTAGAAATGTGTTCCAGAACCTGTCAAGCCTTAGTGGAATTAGTTTAGGTATAATACAAGTGCAGAAAAAATGTAGAGGAGGGCCTTGACCGCATGATACCTACATGTGCACATAATATGAACAATGGCCAAGTGAAAAAGAAGAAAGAAAGGAGAAATTTTTAAGGTGTTACAGGACTTATATGTACTTGCAGCTCTAAAGATGTAGATGTATTTATTTGTATAATTCTTGTAGTTTAATTGCTGATGGGCAGAATTGTTGCATCTCAAATTTCAGCCTGGAGCCAAATCTTATAATTTGAGTTATAAACCCCTAAAATAAGGGTTTATGTTTATGATAGACTTGCTGACAGATGCTTATGTGTAGTAGGACTAGCAGGCATTGCTGTAATTATGCTATCGTATCCTATCATTAAAGATTTCAATTGAAAGAGGTTTATAAATTGCTCTTCCTCTTAGATAAACCACCCTACATTAAGGCATCAACGATATGGTGCAGAATTAAATTAAAATCTCATAAAATGAAATATGTTCTGTATTAGCCGTTTGACACTTAATTTGCCTCTGAATGAGTAGAGGAAATCACAAATTAACCTGCCTTTGTTTTTCCAGCCATGGCTTATTAGGTGTTAGAACAACTGCAATTACAGCCCAATAATAACCCCCAACCCTTATGAATATGTACTGAAATGTATCGCTTTGCATTACCAAAATCTGTTTGGGGCTGTGTAGGTATCTGGAATTTCTACAGTACATCTTGTTTCTACTTCGGGGAAGACGTACAAAACTTAAAGTTGTTCTTTAGTGTCAACATATGAACAGTGTAATTGGAGCTGGAGCTTGTGCTTTCCTTTTTTTTTTTTTTTTTTCTCAAATTCAAGGCATGAATCTTAGTTTAAAAAAAATATTCCAGTAAACTATAATTCAGTTTTGCTTCTTTTTGTTGAACTGGCATTTTAAACTACTTGTTAAGCATCATAGGAATAAAACCAAAAGAAGTGTGGCTCTAGTAATCCCACTCCTTGCTTTGTTTTTCTTTGTTGTATTTGTTTAGCTCTTTCTTAATTTTCAAAATTGATTTCCAAAGTAAGGTACTAAAGGAGAAACTGAAGCTAAGCTGTTTTGGTCCTTGACATTTGCTAGACCATCCAACAGAGTGTGATGCCTTCTCTGGTTGGTGTGCAGTGATTCCAAACCCTGCTGCTAATGAGGATATTTATATGAACGTGAACTAATACTTTGGGCATGCTGGGTTTTTTTACTCCTCAAGAACCAAGTCATAAATTTACCGTTGGCTAACTCTTCTGGTTGCCTGATGTCTCTGTTGACGTTGGCTTTGTTGGAATGAGAGTTGTTAGCACTGAGCAGAGGAAGAATAAGGGTATCTTCACCGTTCTTATGACAGTGCAAGTGTAACTTTATAGTCCCACAACTTTTAAAATCTGGCTCAGCCAGGATGAGAGGTTTTTTTTATTAATTTAAAAAAATAGCTCCTAAGGCAGAAGCAAACTTCTACTGACATAGTTAACCACAGTGTTTTATGAAGCTACCATTCTTGCATCATTCTGGGTCATCCGTTCATTTTCTTGAACCATCTGGGTCATCTGTTCACCTTGACAGAGTTGCGCTAATAGGTTTCTCCCAGTCTGCTTCATTTCAAAGTTGGGTTGGACAGCCTTTGAAGGTGACCTAACCTGGTATTTCCAGGCACTCTTTAACATGGCTTTGGAGGAAGCTCTTTCCTGCAGAGGTGGGGCAGGGGATAACTGCTGGGTGGCAATATCAGGAATGGCTCCAGGGTGGTGGCCTGTGTACGTCTTGGAGTGGTTAGCACATGTGGCATAGGAGAAAGGTAAAATTTCAGGGCTGAATGTGCTACAAGGTACACCATGTATGTTCCAAAACATTCATCCATTTTGTCTCCGTCTCTCTTCTGTTGCCATCCCGTTTTATGTTAGCTCTGGGCTGTGAGCAAGGGCCCGTGACCAGGTAGATCTGAGGGGAGATGTGCTGATGGGACCCATATACTTACGGCCAGAGGAGGCTGCACTTGCAAGGGGAAAGCTGCAAGGTAAAGCTGCTGCCTTGTGACTTCCTAGGAGCCAGGATACTCTAAGCTCCTTTTTTTCTAACTGCTGATTGAGGCTAGCGGCATCGGAGTTTGGCAGTCTGACACCCTGCAACGATGCACGTGCAGGTAGTTGTGCAAGTGCCTAACACGAATGCCTTGAACAGGTATTTTGAACTGTGCGAATGCACCGGTGCTAAAGCAAGGCATGTGTTTTGCTTGCAGACAGCTTCAAGTTGATAACAAGAGAGTCTGACTCCAAGATATATTATTTCATATCTAATTTGTGCAGACAACAGTTACACAAGGGTGGAAAGGAAAGTCAAGTCGAAATGCTCAGCTTTCATCAGCCTCTGATTTTGGACCACGCAGTACAGTCAGGGATGTCCAAATGCGAGAAGATTAAAGTG